ACACACACACACACACACACACACACACACACACACACACACACACACACACACACACACACACACACACACACACACACACACACACACACACACACACACCCCACATACACTCACGTATACATACACTCACGTATACATACACTCACATATACACACGCACGCGGACGCGCGCGCACACATACACATGCACAGCTGATGCCGTGTGGATGTTTTAACGAAGCCCGCATGAAAAAGGTCAACATGAAGGAACTCTTAATTCCTCCCGCAGTCTTTTCATTGCCTTGATATTTCGACAAGGAAGACCCCCTTTTTCATAACTGACGCAGTAACGGCGTTGAATGATCAGAAACTGCGACAACAAGTGTAGGGGTGAGCTAGCCCGTCGGTTCTGATTCCCCTTACGTAGCTCTACCTGTGGCTGACATGCCCACTGTCTGTCCTTGTCACTTCCTCGCTCTCTAGCATAGAGAACAAAAGAAAGCGGAGCGGCGCGGGGCGCACCGCTTTCATATATTCATGGGCCGTAATCAACTTTGGTCACGCCGTGTGGCCTTTCATCAAATGCAGCCGTACGCGTGCAGGTAAAACGATATCAACTTCAATGCAGCTTTTAATCTAGGTGGAGACCATACGCGTGCGTCACACACGCGTGCGCGCCCACTCGTTCATCACCGACCGGATAGACTCCATGCCCTCATACTGCAGTGCTGCCACACAAGACCGAGGCATCGTCACACATCATGCATGCATCACACACGTAGTCGATCCTCACTAAAGAAGAACAGTGGACTAATCGTGCGTTGTCATTATAGTTTATAAGCAGCAATGTTCGAACTAATACCGCCTCTAGCAACCAAGTTGATTTCACTAATCAATACCTCTAGTATTATAGCTACGACGAATATTGAGTTGCTATTTTAGCCAGTGTCTTTACTGATTAACTACTCTAACTCGAATATATCTTGATTAAGTACTCTAACTAGAATATATCTTGATTAAGTACTCTAACTAGTATATCTACTGATTAATTATCCTAACTAGCACACAAATGACTTTATTTGAGCTATTATTTTATTAGCTATCTTAGACAGTGCAATTACTCTCGAATTAATTCGTTTTTACTCTCATTTCACTGCTAGTATAATATATGTAAATATATATATATATATGTAAATATATATATATATATATTTATATTATATATTAAGTAGTGATTCGTATAGTTGCCGATTTGTTAGCAGAACCAGTCATTCATGAATGGACCTAGCCAGATCTAATACGAACATGTTTATGGAGCTTGATGTATTTACTTCTGATGTGTGTGTGCTTGTGTGTGTTTATCTATTTATTCACTTATTTATGCTGATACATACGTATAGCAATGCATGCTTGCGTTTGTGTGCTTCTGTTGTTGTGTAGTATATGTTGAGAGAAGGCTGTCTGGCAAAAGTAAAATACCGAAAAGCGATTCCAGCTTGATGTTACCAGGAGTTAATAAAGACAAGTTTGTCTTTATTAACTCCTGATGTTACGTATGAGGTAAATACGGGGGAGTGGGGAATAAATGAACCTTTTCATGCGTCGAAAAAAACGATTCACGATTCAGTAAAAGCTTTAATATCTGCTGCCATTTCCCCCGACGCCTGGTCACGGCGAACCTCGCCAATAAGTGAAGTGGGCTATTTGTCGAAACTAGGCCATATTCGAAATAAAACAATTGCTTGTTAACGTTGAATAAAAATGAAAATGAATGAGTAAAATTAAATGAATCGCACTTACCAGGCGAGGCCTGGCCTATGAATGTGACGGTTCACCGCCTGGGCATGCATATGGACTGCTTCACTATATAAAAATAGTCCCATCTCAGACCGTGAATATTCTGTGTTCGGTCGTTAGTCAGTCTTCGGAATATGTTG